ACAAATGGCCACAATCTTGAAAGATGCAGAGCGGTACCGATGCCGATCACCAGAGCTGTCAAACTGACCGTTGAAACAATAAACGCACCATGTGAAGGTACAGCAGGTACAAAAAAAACCGCAAGACCCTGCGGGTATGAACCCGGTGGGTATCCCATGGGCACAATAAAACAACTCGTACATATATTGAAATATAAAAGCTGGGCCACCATACGCACTTTGAAGGCCCCGCAAATCGGGGAAGATGAACCCAACATCCCACGGACATCCACGAACGCCTGACAAGTGTCCCGGGTGGCATGCAACCATTGAATGAATTTGAACCTGACTCTGACACTTCGCCCCGCTCTTAGCCGACCCACGCCTCTGTGAATAGACGACGTCTAACATCCAGAGTTGCGAGAAGCCACAAGCACGCCGCGCTGAGGCGGCGGGGCAGGACCCATGACGCGCTTGAGCCAAAAAGGATCTACGCGCCTTGGGCCCAATGTGCTTGAGGAGGAGGAGGAGGAGGAGGAGGGGGAGGAGAAGGAGGGAACGTTTTCGGGCGTTGTCCCACCCTCGGGATGCGTTCCAGCGGCTGGGCCTCGCCGCGGGGCGTCCGGGGGGGGTGCCTGGAGCGTCCCAGACGGCCGCCCGAGAGCCGAGTTAGAGTCGGACTTGATTGGAGAGGACACGCGAGAGGACACAAGACCCTCCCGAAGGCCACATCGCCATTGGAGTGTAAGAAGGCACGTGTCGCGAGGCACAGGGCACAAGGGTACCCTTGAGCTGGCAGGGTCGACCTACGAATCTGGCCCGACTGCACGACCCAAGAACCACCAGGTGTCCGAGCGGGGGCGGGCCTTCTTCAGAAAGCCCGAAAGGCCTCTGGCCTTCCGAGGCGCTTCCTGAGCCTCCTCCGAGGGCGCAGGGAACCTCTCAGAAGGCGCGAGGCCTTCTGAGAATCCTCGCCGCCTTCTGAGAAGGCCTGCCCCCTCTCACTTCCCCCCAGCGCTCGCCGCCGAGTTCAGTTTTCGGGTCATAACTAGGGTCTCTGGCGGCCGTTCGGGACTATCCGGGCTTCCCAGAACGCTCTCGGCGAGGCGCAGCCGCTGGAACGCATCCCGAGGGCGGAAAACCGCCAAGAAACTACGACAACGCCCGGAAACCAAGAACCTCGAAGTTCGAAAACGCCCGAAAATCTAAAAGCCTTCCCCTTCTCACTTACCCCCCTCAGGCGCGCCGCCGAGAAGGAGCAGATCCCTGGAGAACGCGCCATAGTGGGCGATAAACTGGGGGTGGGGGCAGCGAGGGCTGCAGAAAGGGGTCCCCTTGGGGCCCCGAAGAGGCCCTGCATGGGGCCCAGAAGTGGGCCTTTCGGGCCCGAAAAGAAGAGCACCCTTCTCGCACCTGTCGCCCCCCCCACCCACACGAGTTCGCGCCCAAGAGCTACAGTCGGGGCGTTGACCTAAGGAACCCTAAATAAAGAACGAAGCCCCTTTTTTTCTTAAGTTAACCTTCGACTTGCAACCAAAAACTTCAGGAAAACACTGGGCAAGGTGTGGAACAATTAAGGAGCACCGAGCCCCTCCCCAACGAAAAGGGTTCCTTCTTCAGTGCCCCGACTGTATCCTGCATGCTCTGTGCCGCCGGGCGCAGATATGGGCCCCAGGCCGTCCGCTGGCGAGCCCGGGCGAGGCCCGTCGACGCACCTCACCAAAGAGCCCCGACATGCGCGCGCCGCGGGAAAAGTCGGGACCTCTGAGATCCTGGCGGTGCAACTTTTTCACAGCGGGCGCGCTCGCTCCAGTCTGGGCCCTGGGGCCCCCACAGATCGATGCAGCTCGACAAATCAGACAGGAAGAGGGGGTCTGGGGCTCCGGCGGTCATTTCTTGCGATGTTGCATGTGCTTTGCAACGCCGGATCTCAGGGACGGAAGGTTTGTGGTCGTTTTAGCCCTCTGGGGGCCATCGCCGGCCCTCGGGACCGTCAGAAAGCGACTCAGGATGAAAGGCCGGTCCCAGGGAAAGGGTCGGGACTTCTGGAGACCGCGTGCTGAAAAATCAGAGCATCGCATGTCTGGGAAGGCATGGGAAGGCACTTTGCTGACCAGGTCAGCCGCCACGAAAGCGAGCAAGCAACCTCGAGCAGCCTGATCAAAAATCATCGCCTTGCCATCGCCTGGACGTCCACTCCCCGTGGATGTGCCGGTTTCGTGCGTGTTTGTTCCGTGAGATGGCCCGGGATGCTCCCCGACGGTCCTCGCCGAGACACAAAGCACGCGTACGAGCGGTGCCAAGTCTCCCGAGCCACGAGGGATCCCGCACGTACGCTCCCCGAGCAGCATCAGGTCGCGCGGCCGCGACGCGCGAGCAGCCGGGGGCGGCCCAGGCGGGCTGGCGTCCCAGAGCGGGGGGAGGGGGGAGGAGGAGGAGGAGGAGGAGGAGGAGGAGGAGAAGGAGGAGGAGGAGGAGGAGGAGGAGGAGGAGGAGGAGGAGGAGGAGAGGAGGAGGAGGAGGAGGAGGAGGAAGGGGGGAGGAGGGAAGGAGGAGGAGGAGGTAGGAGGAGGAGGAGGAGGAGGAGGAGGAGGAGGGGGAGGAGGAAGGAGGAGGAGGAGGAGGAGGAGGAGAGGAGGAGGGGGAGGAGGGATGAGGAGGAGGAGGAGGAGGATGAGGAGGAGACAAGCTAGGTGCGCTCGCGTCATATCTGACATCCTACCCCTCCCTCCCATCCCTTACCATGGCGTAGATCCCCTCTCTACTCGCACAGTCGGATGTCGAGCAGGGCAATGATCCCGAAAGGGTACGCGATGCATTGTAGAGCACGGCATGGCATGGCGTAGAAGAGCACCGCAAAGCGTAGTATCAATCTAGCATTGCATTGCATGCCGTGGCATGGCACGGGAAATGACGCCAGCGCTGCAGCGGGAGCACGAGTCGAAACGAGCGGAAGCGCGGAAATGAGGCCAGCGCTGCAGCGGGAGCACGATTCGGAACGAGCGGAAGCACGGAAATGAGGCCAGCGCTGCAGCGGGAGCACGATTCGGAACGAGCGGGGCCCGAAACTGAGGCCGGCGCCTCAGCGAGAGCAGCATTTTGAAAAAAATGCAAGAACAAACAATACGCGGGGGGGGGCGGACACTTTCAAACCGTCATCAGGGGAAGAGGGAGAGTAGTGTTCATATTGAGTAATTGTGGAAGAGGAGGAGGAGGAGGCGGAGGAGGAGGAGGAGGGAGAAGGGAGGAGGCGGAGGAGGAGGGCGAGGCGCGTGCGCGGCCCCAGGGTGAGGGGGACCAGGGGGATGCACCCAAGTGAGAGAATGGGGCCAGGAAATCTGGGGAGTTATCCTGGCCCCGGCCACGATCCCCCCCCCCTCTAGTCATCACCCTCCCCGCCTCGACGCCTGGTGGCTTTTGGGTCATGTGCCTCTCACGCTGCCTCGTCTCCATATCAAGGGAGCGTCGTGACCGAAGCTGTGCCCGAATTTCTGCACGGGTGTGACCGGAACATGCGCCCGAAAATTTTCGACCGCACCCGGGTGTGACCGAAATGCTCGGCTCAAAGCCAAGAAGATCTTCAACTTCGGTCACATGCTCGGTCACACGACGTTTTCGGTCACAACTTCGGGTACGTTTTCGGTCACCCATTTTTTCGGGCCACCTACCTGTTCAGCTGATAGGGGCGGGGGGCCATGATAACTCTTGCCTCCAACGGCCGTTCAGGACGATCCTGGCAACCCATGGAAAAGCTGCCCACGAGGCACACCTGCTGGACCAAAAAAACACCCCGAGGCGAGAAACGTTCCGGGGAGAAGAAGAACGGGCCGTGAAACTTGGGGGGCCTCGGGACCCTGGCCATCTCTCCCCTCATGTCGTCACGACCCTCTCCCCAAACACCCGACGTCATGCTGTTTGTTCACGTCGCCGACTCCCAGAGGTCTAAAGACCCAGGACCGGCGTTGCATCCCGAGTCGACCCCATGGTTTTTGACGGTCCACAGCGCCACACCAGAGGATAGATTAACCAAGCATGGCCGCGAGGATTGCTTGATTGAGCTTGATTTTCTACAGAAAAAATTAAAACATCGTCTTTGACGGTCCAGGGGCCCATCGAGGGCCCCCAGAGGCAGAAAACTGCCACTGATAAGTCATATCAACCATGTCTCTGGTACTGCCATCAGTTGACATCTGAGTAAGGGCCCATCCAAGGACCGTAATGAACATCCGATCTATGATGCTAGTGAACTCGCAACTCGCGGAGTAGTGGGTCGGGTCGAACTGCTCGACCTTAATCAACTGCGAGAAGACCTGAGACCAAATCGGATCACGAGCGCCTCTCCCAGACGCGCATCCGTCACCAGCTAACGCGGCAAGCGTCGTGGCCAAAGGCTTGGGGGGCCGGCTGCGACGTTGAAATCTCCCACAACCATCGCCAACCTCTGAGCTGGAGCCTGTGCAGCAAGAGCCGTATACCGAAGGATGCGTGAGCGAATGTTATGTTTATCGGCTCTGCTGAGCACATACTTGTGGATGTTATAGAAGATGATCCAGGGAACTGTAAGTAAGGAACAGGAATGTCCCTGTTGTGTCTGGCTCAGGGAAAAACATTATGCCTCTTGTCCTGCCGCCGCACGGGCATGATATGAGGCCCCCCCCAAATGAGACCAAGCCAACCACGCCCCCCCTTGACGACCTCTACGTCTAGCATAGCAGCGCGCCCCCGGAGCATCTTCGGGGCCGACGCGAGGACGCCGCCCAAGGTAGCCGCAGGACAAAAGGAAATGAAACACACGATGCTCTTGTGGAAGACATGGACCATGTCCTCTGCCTCGGACCTAGTTCCGCGGGCCCCCTGAACTGCAACAAAACTGGACTGGCTCACCAGGGAGTTTGAGTGCGCATAGTTGTTGTCACGACGTGGATAGTCGCGATGAAATACGTAGGGCCCGAGCATTCCAGCTGACAAAACAGGTGGAGTCGCTGGACCCGCTGGATCCTGACCAGAGACTGAAAAGCTCGTTAGAGACTCCACTGCGTGGGAGCCTTCGCTGCAAGGATAGCCTTGACAGGGCCCTCACACACGCGCCCGTCGATGTCCAGCGCCGCCGCGTTCGACGTGGCCCGCTCGAGGGCCGGGGGCTCGTCGAAGCCCGTTTCCGCGAACTTGAGATGGGCCTTCCAGGAGAGAGTGAATTCCGCACGTTGGCGGTCGACGTAGAAGCGCTTCCCTGGGACCAGCTCCTCCATCTTCTTCTTGATGAGTTTGAGCCCGAGCTCCGTCTGCACTTGCTTCTGACTCATGCCCATCGAGACGAACACCTCAGTACGTGTAGCATCTTGCGCCTCGCAGTCGATGCGTCTCCGGCCAGCCCCACCAGCCAGTCGTATCCCTGACATCGCCTGGTTGACCTTACGAGCTGCATAGCTTGCATTGCCACGGAATGAGAGCTTGTGCAACTTCGCCACTGGTCTCCTTTGATCGTGAACTCGCTACTGTCGATGCTCGCATCCTGCAGCCATGATTGAATCGCCTCCGCTACGTGAGAACGAGCAACCAGCACCTTGGACCTGATCGTGATGATCGTGGGGCCGACCTCCCTGTCGAAGCAGTTGGAACTGTTAGCCTGCATCTTCGGCTCCTCATTCTGGATGATGCCCAACGCCCTGCGAAGTCAAACCACTTCCTGCTCCAGCTTCTGTAATCGCTTGTCATGTGCGGAGATGCGGCCTTCTGCCACGGCCATCCGCTGCTTCACCTGCTTGTCCACGCCCTCGAGGTGCGTCAGCACGATCGTGGCCATCTTGTTGAGGCTCTGCTGCGTGATCTTGATCTGCTGCATGAAGGATTCGCGAGTCTGCTCCACGGTGTCCTTAATCGACCGGTAGTCGTCAGGAACATGTCGACCATCATCACAGGGGTCTGCGTGTTGACTGGCTCGACCATCGGTCTCATCTGTCCGAGGGTTCTGTGCCAGGGGTTCTCCTGATTCTTGGCTACTGTGAGCCATCGCGCCACTGTACGGGTACAGCACCCAGCCTCTGCCAAAATGGACGACGAGGCGCACGAGGCAATGAAGAGCAGCAGGAGTCTGATCCTGCAGGTGAAGCGGGTGGCCTGCTGCTCAGGCGCGATCTTGAGAGACGGCAATGGATTGCCAAAACTACATGCTGATTCTCGGGCGTCCATAGCCCTTCACAGAGTTTAGCCTTGAACCAAAATTGCTACGGACTTCCTCCTCCTCCTCCTCCTCCTCCTCTTCCTCCTGCTCCTCCTTCTCGTCCTCCTCCTTTCTCGTCCTCCTTCTCGTTCTCCTCCTCCTCCTCCTCCTCTTCCTCCTCCTCCTCCTCCTCCTCCTCCTACTCCTCCTCTTCCTGCTCCTCCTGCTCCATGCCTTTTCCCTATGAATAACTCATCCCTGTCGCACCCCGAGACGGGTCGGTAGGGCGGGCCAGGCGAATCGCCAGAGAATTCCTCGCCAATTATGATCCTGAGGGCTGGAACTTGCAACGGCTTCACGGATGGAGGGCGGGCCGGTGTCAAAATTCGGCCTTCGCCTTGGCGCCGCGCGCCTTCGTCTTACTGGTTTGCAAGAACTTCGCGGCTGGAGGGCGTGTCGTTTTCAAAACGTGATTCTCGCATGAATGCCACGCACGGTCGTGTTGAACATTTGCAGTCGTTTCACGGCTGGAGGGCATCTCGTTTTCAAAGCTCTCGCCGCAGCGCCGCTCTAAAGGCGCACGGCAGTGCCGAGGATTCTGATGGTTGACGTCCCAGAAAAGGTGTTTGGGCATGCTTTAGGAGTGTCAGGGCGTGACAGTCACGTTGCTTTGCATATCCCAGGACTGGTGTTCCGACGCGATTCAGGATCGTCAGGACGCATCAGTCCGTTGATTCGCGGCGTTGGTGTCCCAGGAATGGTGCTTCGACCTGGCTGGAGATTTTCAAACGGTTGTCTTCCAACGGGGCACTCCCCTCAGTGAAAGTAGTTCCTTGTAGGGACCTGGGAAGAGGGAACTTGGAGGGAGGGCTGACTGCAAACATCGCTGATGAGTCTTAGGTTTGCACAGGTTCTCCTCCTCCTCCTCCTCCTCCTCCTCCTCCTCCTCCTCGTCCTCCTCCTCCTCCTCCTCCTCCTCCTCCTCCTCCTCCTCCTCCTCCTCCTCCTCCTCCTCCTCTCTGCATCCGTGAATGCCTTCTGGCCTTCTGCCCCGCTGCAATCAAGGCCACGGGAACCTTCCGCAGATTCGTCAAGGGCCTCTTCCCCGGCCGCAGGGGCCCCTCGAAAGCCACCCAGCGCCGCTCCGCGGTGGCCCGCCCGCTACCAGGCCGCACCGAGGCCACCGCCGAGCTCCAGCGACTTCCTCCTCTGCCTCCCCCCCCTCTCGCTCCTTCCCCTCCCCTCCCTCCTCCCCCCCCCCCCCCCCCACTCCCCGACGCACCCCTCCCCCCGAGGCCTCCCTCCCCTCCTCCCCCCCCCCCCCTCCCCCGACGCACCCCCTCCCCCCGAGCCTCCTTCTCCCCGTCCGAGGCCCCCCCACACCCCCCGAGGCCTCCCTCCCTCCCCGAGGCTCCCTCCCCCCCCCCCCCTCCCCGAGGGGGCCCCCTCTCTCGCGTCCAGGCCGTCCCCGGCCCGCGGCCCGCGGCCCGCGGGGCACCTCGCGCTCCCCGACGCCGTCCGCGGCGCCGGCGGAGATGATGCCCCGCTCGCAGGCGCCGCAGGCGGTGGCCCCGAGGTTCTGCCCGACCTCGGAGAGCCTCGGGGCCGCCGGGCGGCGGGCGGGGGGGAGGGCGAGGGGGAAAGAGGAGGAGGAGGAGGAGGAGGAGGAGGAGGAGGAGGAGGAGGAGGAGGAGAGGAAGGAGAGGAGGAGGGAGGAGGGAGGATGAGGAGGAGGAGAGGAGGAAGGAGGATGAGCGACGGGGGGAGGAGGGCCAAGAGGGAGGAAGTATGATGATGATGATGATGATGATGATGATGATGATGATGATGATGATGATGATGATGAGGAGGAGGAGGAGGAGGAGGAGGAGGAGGAGGAGGAGGAGGAGGAGGATAAGGAGGAGGAGGAGGAGGATGAGGATGATGATGATGATGATGAGGAGGAGGAGGATGATGATGGTGATGGTGATGGTGATGGTGATGGTGATGATGATGCTGATGATGATGCTGATGATGATGATGATGGTGATGGTGATGCTGAGGGTGATGGTGATGAGGATGCTGATGATGGTGATGCTAATGGTGATGGTGATGATGATGGTGCTGCTGCTGCTGATGATGATACTAAGGATGAGGATGTTGTTGATGGTGGTGGCGAAGATGGAGATGTATATTAACATGATAGTGAACCTGATTATGAAGATGAAAATGACGGTAAAGGTGAAGATGACTGTGTCTATGACTTTGAATATGGTGTTGATGATGGTGGTGTTGATGCCGATGATGCTGATGCTGATGACGGTGACGAGGATGGTGATGATGAAGGAGAAGAAAAAGAAGAGCGAGAAGGACGAGGAAAAGGAGGAGGAGGACGATGAGGATGAGGAGGAGGAGGAGGAGGAGGAGGAGGAGGAGGAGGAGATTGTTTATCACCCAAGAGTGCTAAACTTTCAACGCCAGTTTGGGCGCCAGACTGTTCAAGACCTAATGGGCGGCTTGGCTGATGCGTGTGCCTGGCTGGAAACACACCGAACTCGTTTCTGCGCCGTTCACGACTGGAGCGGGAGGAGGAGGAGGAAGAGGGAAGGGAGGAGGAGGAGGAGGAGGACGATGAGGAGGAGGAGGAAGAGAGAAGGACACAACAAGCACCGTTCTTCATGTCCGAGCAACATCCAAAAACACGAGGAAGAGGGAGATATGTAGGAGGGACGAGGGAGAAAGAAGGGAGGAGGGCAGAAAGAGGGAGAGGGGGGAAGCAGGGGTGAGCGAGGAGAAGAAGGAGGATGGTGATGGTGGGTGGTGGTGGGCGGGTTTCAAAAATGTCAATAAAGAAAATTCCCAAACAAGGTGGATGCCAGTCGAGTCTACCGCTGCATCCTCCCCTCCTAATCATCCTCCCGTTCTTGCCCCCATCTCCCCTCAGATGGTTCCTCTTCCTCTTCCTCCTATTGTCCCCCTCCTCGTCCTCCTCATCGCCCCCACCCTCCTACTGTCCCCCGCCTCGTCCTCCTCCCGCTCCCCTTCCGAAGGAAGAAGCAATTGTTCACCCTCGGTGGCCTCATCTGGCCTCCGCCGAAGGCGGTGTCGGTAACTCCTGGAACCTCTTGTCCACATGACCTTACTTGGGGAGGTCCGGGAGGAGAGGAAAAGGAGGGAGGGGATGTGGCGAAACGGGAAGAAGGACTAGGACCATGAGGAGGGGGAGGAGGATGAGGAGGAGCACGACGGGTTAGGAGAGGCAATGAATTAGGCCGAGCCGACCCTAATTCACGACTTAAGTAAGATCCCTCCGACCCCGCAGAACAGGAGGCGGAAGAGGAGGAGGAGGAGGAGGAGGAGAAGGAAGAGGAAGAGTAGGAGTTGGAAGAGGGGAGGAGGAGGAGGAGGAGGAGGAGGAGGAGGAGGAGGAGGAGGAGGAGCGCGCCAACAACTGCAGACCGCGCCGACAAGAGATTGGGCGAACGGGCCTTTGCGAACGTGGCCTCCGCCGCAAGCCACGGCAACAACATGCCAGGAAGAGGGGAGAGAGGAGGAGGGAGGAGAAAAAGGAGGAGAAGCAGAAGGAGGGGGAGGATGAAGACTCCAATGTACAACCGAACATGTCGTTAAAGACTTTATCATTTAAGACGCCTGGTCCAGCTTTCCGAAGTTTCCTAAGACGAACCTGTGGTCGTGTCACCGCTGCAGGGGCGAACATGCTCAAGAAACTGGGCCCGATTCCCCGCAAGTTGGGTAAGGAATGCTGGCCCGGCTTTTCAGGACGAGGTTTCTTCACCGTATGCTCGATTGCAATGTAGGACATCGCCTCGAACGGTGGAAAGGTGAACGCACCTGAGGCTTGGCATCTGAAACAAGCGTATACCATCGAATGCAACGCGCAGTTGTGTTTGACTCGGGCTCGCAGCGCTGCCATCCTCTGCGCATGTTTGGGGGGCGTCTCTGTCAGCACCACGGCTGCGAGGAACGGGCGCCACGCTGGCCACACCTCGAGCGCCGGCCACGATGAAGGGGCCCAGGGACACACAAACAAATACACACAAATAACAGGATTCCCCATATGTTCGCACATTTTCTGGGTGATTGTCTTCCCCCCCACTTCCCATATTTTCCCACATTTTCCCAGGAGTCGACGATTCATTGTGTCTGTGTGCCCCAGCCTGGGCCAATCCTGTGCCCCCGCCGCCGCCAGGTTGGTGGTGTGACACGCGTGACGGCTTCAACGGCCCCGACGACTGGCTGTGCAGGAAAAGAGAGGCAAGCGAAGCAAGCGAACGGGCAGCCACTCCGAGGGAGAGCCAGAGCAGCTACTCCCGAACCCCGTGGCGTGGACATCCCGCTGGCGACCAGCAGGCAAGCGCAGCCAGAATGGCGCGGCGGCGCGACCATGAACACGCAGAGGTCGATCGCTCGGTGTGGCTGGCGAGGTGCAGGGCGTGCCCGCGCCCCAGCCTGGGCCCATCCTGTGCCCCCGCCGCCGTCGGGTTGGTGGTGCGACACGCGTGGCGGTTCCGACGGCCCCGACGACTGGCTGTGCAGGGCGTGCATGCCGCTTCCTCCGTGCGGGCCTGGACAGGGCAGAGGCGGTGCGGGGCCGCGGCAGAGGAGGCGGGACGAGGCATCCCAGGCGGGCAGGCGGCACGGCGAGCAGAAGCGGCATCGATCAGGCTCACGCCGACGGCGCCGAGACCGGCAGCACTGATGACGATGGATGATGATGATGATGATGATGATGATGATGATGATGATGATGATGATGATGATGATGATGATGATGATGATGATGATGATGATGATGATGATGACGATGATGATGCTGATGCTGATGCTGATGATGATGATGATGATGATGA